TTTCTGGAGAAGATGTGTTAACGTTGGCTTTTATAGAATCCACTTTCTGGAGAAGATGTGTTAACGTTGGCTTTTATAGAATCCACTTTCTGGAGAAGATGTGTTAACGTTGGCTTTTATAGAATCCACTTTCTGGAGGAGATATGTTAACGTTGGCTTTTATAGAATCCACTTTCTGGAGGAGATATGTTAACGTTGGCTTTTATAGAATCCACTTTCTGGAAGAGATATGTTATCGTTGGCTTTTATAGAATCCACTTTCTGGAGGAGGTATGTTATCGTTGGCTTTTATAGAATCCACTTTCTGGAGGAGATATGTTATCGTTGGCTTTTACAGAATCCACTTTCTGGAGGAGGTATGTTATCGTTGGCTTTTATAGAATCCACTTTCTGGAGAAGATGTGTTAACGTTGGCTTTTATAGAATCCACTTTCTGGAGGAGATATGTTAACGTTGGCTTTTATAGAATCCACTTTCTGGATGAGATATGTTAACGTTGGCTTTTATAGAATCCACTTTCTGGAGGAGATATGTTAACGGTGGCTTTTATAGAATCCACTTTACTTCACGCTGTATGAATGATTATTTTCCTATATTTTTAAGCTTGCTTGGGGGTTTGTTTTAAAGAATATGATTGTAGTTTTATGATCTGCTAAAGTTAACCGATCATTTATAATTCAGATATAACTAAAGGTCCCGCGCGTTTGTTCCAGGGTATATTTCAAGTAAAAGTTTCACAATATCTTTAAACGATTCAGTCAGTTCTAACCTAATACACGCAACAGAAAGGTGACAGGTAGCTTTAATTCGGTGGGTGTTTTTCACGTTGGTTTTGTGCAATATAAACAGATGGAACCATTTGTACCAGTTTCTAAAAGTCATTTATTGCCATTATCAGATAAGCAACGTTTACAATAACTCGATGACTTTTGAAAATTATCATTCAAAACTTTATCACAGTGGATAAAGCGGCTGTTTCCTAGATACTTGAGTTACGTGGAGGCCTAATATGGTTTCCACACAGGGTAGAATTCCTGCAGAACAGACGGTGTACAACACGTTGCTTTCCCGTTTCCTAGCTTTCAGTGACATTTTGACGCTTCTTTCACGGGGTGGGTGAAAACGAAACCGTCTTAACCACACTAAATGTGAGGGTGTACCGTTAACTTCCTGTTACGCGCGTGGGCCAATCCGGAACGCGATAGCTGTTTAAATTTCAGCCGGTATCATTTACATTTGGGCTTATGTAGACTAATCTAAATATAAACTTGAAGAGCGGGCTGGGATATACGGGCGTGCTGAACTACCATTAGTGCAAGGTTCAAACCAAAAGCTTGGTCATTTCAAGCAGAGTGTCTGTAGGTTTTTGGTTAGGTTAACCTGCCCATCTCTGAAGCTAGGCGTGAAGCAAGCATTCATTAACTTGTCACCACCACCACAGGAACCACTTGTAGTCAGGACACTTCCGTTTAGTAGGTCTGTTTATGTGAAATATTTTAATAATTACTTGGTTAATTGCAGAGTGTCAAGTGTGACAGTTAATTTTAAATATCGTTATACGTGATGCGTTTTTTGTCTTCGTACTATTTATAACGTTAAACGTGTGGACTTCTCTTTCAGAACTTAGTTTCGAAGTTTTCTATGTTATCGTTGTTAAGGGTATTAAAAACGTTCTGTTAACATATATATATATAATAAATAACGTATATAGTTTACAAGTTAATCTCACTGATTTTGACGTACTGCTTTTACCGGATTCGTTTACCGCTTTCTTAGTATTATTGGCCAATTTCTAGCCTATGTTCTTAGCATATTATACTTTAGGCTTAGTTAATGGTCATAAATAATCGATATATATAAATTTAGACAGTATGTGATTAAAGTAATAAAAGTTAATTCTGTTTGTTTGTTTAATCAGTAACAAGTTTCGAATAAGCTACTGTCCATTTTTGTTGTTCGGTGTACACACTGACCGATTAACTGGATTTAACAGTTATCTTGGGAAAACACAAGGTTTATGACATGTTTGAATAGCCAGTACAAACAGATTAGATAACTAAAATCTGATTTGTAATCAGTTGACCACTGACACATTTTTCGGGCTATGGATATGTTTATTTGTAATGTTTTACTCTGATATAAATTATAACATTTTTCGTTTAAGGACATGTCAAATGTAACTAGAAGTGAATATTTATGGTACAGACAGACATCAGTGTTTTTAAAAATGGAAAATAGTAGAAAATCCATGAAAAGTTTATTTTTTTTCGTTTAAAAATGATTAATTAAACGGATAGTTTTAAACTGATACTCCTTCTTTCTCGTTGTTTGTTATTTAAGTTGGTTCCCCGGACTTACAACGCTAGAATCCGAGGTTTCCATTCCCCGCAGTGGACACTGCAGATAGCCTAATGTGATAAACAAATCATTATTGCAAGTGATCATTTAAAACAGTTTCTTCTTCGTAACTAACTAAACGTAACCCAGCTCAAAAACCTGCGTAATCTAATCCGTAACATCTAGCGTCATGTCAGTCACAATTCAAACCACGCCAGTCAGTTGGATGACAAGAAGAAAAATGACTTTATTTTTACTACTGTCTAACCTGTATATCGGTGCGATTAACTCTTTTACAAATTGACTAATAGATGGATAATTTTAGATAGAGCGGATTGTTTGTGTTTTAAGGAAACCAGATTAATTGATATATGAACATGCATACAATGAAGAAAGAGAATTGTGACATATAGCATCACTAAGACTAGATCAAGCAACCAGGGCCGTTACTAGGTATGACAATACCGAGGTAATATTCTCCGTTTTGTTGAGGGGGGAGTGGTGGGCTCCCTTCACTCTCACACACCTACTTACATGCACATATAATTGGAAGTTTGACCTCTGTGGATCATTTGCTGCGACTTTAGTAAAGAGACCAACTGTAATGATTTTAGTTATTATATTATAAATAATATACTTTCCTACACTGATGAGAATTCTGGATTTGTCGACCAAAACACGAGATGATATTGTCCTACAATCAGGATTCAAACTGATAATTAAGTGGAGCCGAAGGTTCTAAGTTTGCGTCTCGTTGCCGCACAACTGCGATCTGCACGTTGGGGCCGGAGGTGCGTTATAAGAGTGGCAATCATATCCCAATGTTCGATTAGAAAATACCAAAAGTTGGGAGTGAGTGCTGTTGACTGGTTTGCCTTCTCTCTGATCTATCAGTGCAAATCAGGGATGGTTAGCGTAGATAATCTTAAGGTATCAGGGATGGTTAGCGTAGGTAACCTTAAGGTATCAGGGATGGTTAGTGTAGATAATCTTAAGGTATCAGGGATGGTTAGTGTAGATAATCTTAAGGTATCAGGGATGGTTAGTGTAGATAATCTTAAGGTATCAGGGATGGTTAGTGTAGATAACCTTAAGGTATCGGGGATGGTTAGCGTAGATAATCTAGAGGTATCAGGGATGGTTAGCGTAGATAATCTTAAGGTATCAGGGATGGTTAGCGTAGATAATCTTAAGGTAGCTTTGCATGAACATCCAAACCAAAGAATTATAATTAAACGTAAAAAATAGTTTGATATAAACTTTTAAGCTTTAAATTGTTATCTTCCTCTGATCTCAAACAAAGCGCAATAAACTTCTTTAACTTTACAACAAAGCTTGAGAAGTAATCTGATATTAACTTGTAAGTCTTCTACTTCATAACAAAGGGTTAGAATTCTGAAGTTACAGGAAAAGGTTCTCAAAAGATGAATTTATTAATAGTATTTTCAACAATCTAATGTGACACATGCACTGAACAGACTAGTCGTGTGGACCAGGTTTCGGCATAGCCGTCCCTAATTTAGAACTGCTACCAGAGAGATGGCAACAATCACCAGCACCCGCCGCTAATGCGGTTATTTTTAACCTAATAGCAGGATCGAATATCACTCTAATAACGCACCCGCTGCTTAAGGTGCGGTGCGTTTTCATCGGCATATAATCGGTTCTAACCTTGAATCTCAGGTCCGCAGCCCGACACGTTAACTACTAGGCCAGTCTGGTCCAGCATTATTTTTAAAACTAATAAAATAAAAACTTAGTTTTGTGTTTATGTGTCCATATTTATTAGTCAGTCAGCTAGAGCACCCAAATAATTAAAAAAATCCGCTTAAGCAAAAACCAAATCCCGTTTCTGAAAAAGTAAAAAAAAAAAACATCATACTTCGAAACCACAACTTTGTTTGAACATACTGAACAAAAATATATGTTTTATCTACACTCTATCATGTTCTTTATCATGTTGAGAAATAACATAAATTATACGTCAGCGTTAAAAGTGTCTTCTTTTCAGTTTGGTCCAGCTCACGTGCGATAGCGCTATCAATACGAATATCCTGTGTTTTCACAGAAACTCTCTAGTTGCTGAGTTAAACATTAAAGTATATAACATATAAATATTGTTCGAACAAAGCTACACAATGCCCACCACAGGTATCGAAACCCGGTTTCTAGCGTTATAAGCCCGCAAACATACCACTGTGCCACTGGAGGGTTTATAAATATATTTACTCCACGAGTTAGATTTCGGGAATTGGATAGCGATTTACACATGTTTTCACAGTGTATATTGTTGGGTTACAGTATTCAAAAATGGATTAACTCAGTGGTTCAAGTTAATTAATTAATTCTATAAAGCTCGTGGAACGTATGTAGTAATTAATTAATGTAAGCCTTACGTTTGTAGTTTCAGCATATTGATGATTTCCCTCTGTCTGTCTGTCTTGTTTTTAGGAATCTACTACAGTAATCAATAATGTCCGACGACGAAAGATACAGGTATGATTTGAAATAAATCTATTAAAACGTAATCAAAATGTTCGTTGTTGGTGAAAGTACGCTTTAAAAAGTAGTTCTTGTTTTTTTTCGTTCTTTGTTTAGATTTTATTCATACATATAATATTTCTACTTACGCAAGCAGCTTTATTAATTTAAGAAGACTTTAATATATTATTCTTATTTGATTATTTTGCTGGTTAAACGATAAGGATTTTATTATTTTCAAATTCATATTACCAGCGTCGCCATTTTTGTACAGACAACAATATCTTTAATATTGATGTATAGATATGCACCGTAGAAATCTGCCTGATACGCAATATAATACAATATAAAACATTTTTCTGCCATCTCGTATGCAGACAGAAAGAAAAAAAAACAGACGTTTAATTTTTGTTTCTTTTCTAATATTAATTCGATTGTTATTCTACCAATTTGTGTAAACTTTTTTAACGAATATTGATTTTCTTGTGTGAAAACTAAAAAAAATTCATAAAACTGTGAGACAATTGAAACGCATCATTTTGGAACAAAAGTCAAGTTTTCGAATTTAATGCTAAAAGTTCAAACGCCAGAAATGCTTCGTTGCCAAAAATATAGGGTCACGAGTTAAGCTCGAGTTACCCGGCACATTGGATGTCAGTAGGCTCGTTCCGCCGTGCTGTAATCGGTGACAAGAATGTGTTAGTTCAAGAAAAACATCACGTGCTCGTAGTAAATGTTTACTTTTTTTTTTTTTTTTTTGAAGCCATGTGTGGACTCCGTGAAAAACCTAATTTTGAATGTTTGTGCAATAAAAGCGCGGAAAAATAAACTACGAAAAATCAAAATTAGTAACAATTATTTCGACTTTTTTCGTTATTAATACATTATTACGTAAACAGCACCTATTGATGTTAAGCCGAATCATTTAAAGTTTTAATTTTGAATATAACCAATTTTTACTCGAAGAATTTTATAATTTTTATTAATTAATATCAAGCTACCCATACAAATCGTAATTAAAGTTCAACCTGGTAATGATTGTAGCTAACTGAATATATTATTCTTACATTCTTCCTTACCACATTATTTTATCAGTTGAGAACCCTCGTTCTTAACGACAGTTTCGGTGTAATCCCAATAACATCTCACAATCTCCAGCATAGAAGAGCTGGGTAATTTTGAATCTATACACTAAGCTAACAATGTAAAATAATCCCTATGACTAAAATATAATAACAACAAATGAGATTATGATAATGAATTTAATATGAAAGAATGACGAGTGTATACCTTATTTTCGGGACATATAAACAGTAGAAAAACTTGAAATCTAAACGTCTAAACATAAGGAGAATGAGATTCTTTGGACTTCCAAGATTACATTGTGTGGGAACAGTGATATTTAGTCTTCCACTTCTTGGACTTGTCTATAAAATGTTGACGAGTCCATCAAGAGGAGTAAATGTTAGGCACAAAGATAAAAGTTCATTGAAATCACCACTTACACCATCTCAACCAATCAGATGATCATGACCACTTACACCACCTCAACCAATCAGATGATCATGACCACTTACACCACCTCAACCAATTAGATGATCATGACCACTTACACCACCTCAACCAAT